GATGCTAGTTTTTTGTATTTTTAGTAAGAGACGGGGTTTCACGCGTGTTCGCCAGGACGGTCTCCGATCTCCTGACCTCGTGATCCGCCCGTCTCGGCCTCCCAAAGTGCTGGGATTACAGGCTTGAGCCACCGCGCCCGGCCCTTTTTTTTTTTTTTTTGAGACGGAGTCTCACTTTGTCGCCCAGGCGCTGGAGTGCAGTGGCATGATCTTGGCTCACTGCAACCTCGCCTCCTGGGTTCAAGTGATTCTCCTGCCTCAGCCTCCAGAGTAGCTGGGATTACAGGCACCTGCCACCACGCCCGGCTAATTTTGTATTTTAGTAGAGACGGGGTTTCCACCATGTTGGTCAGGCTGGTCTCGAACTCCTGACCTCAGGTGATCCACCCGCCTTGGCCTCCCAAAGTACCAGGATTACAGGTGTGAGCCATCGCGCCCGCCCTAATCTATAATTTTCTTAGTTATTTGTTAATGTTTCTGTTTTTTCTCACCATTAAAACGTAAATACCATAAGGACAGACCTTGTTTAGATTACTGTAACTCTAGGGCCTAACCCATAGCAGGAGTACAGTAAATATTTGTGTTTTCTGTTTTTTGTTTGTTTTTTGTTTTTTGTGAGACGGACTCTCGCACTGTCACCAGGGCTGGAGTGCAGTGGTGTGGTCTCGGCTCCCTGCAACCTCCGCCTCCCGGGTTCAAGCAGTTCTCCTGCCTCAGCCTCCCAAGTAGCTGGGATTACAGGCGCCCACCATCACGCCCAGCTAAATTTTTTTTGTATTTTTAGCAGAGACGGGGTTTCACCATCGTTGGCCAGTCTGGTCTTGGACTCCTGACCTCGTGATCTGCCCGCCTTGGCCTCCCAAAGTGCTGGGATTCCAGGCGTGAGCCGCTGTGCCCGGCCAGCAGTGCAGTAAGTATTTGCTGAATGAATGAATGAATGAATGAATGAATGAATGAATGAACAAGGCTAATATTTTAAATCCCTAAGCGCTATAATGATCAGCTGTTCTTCGAAACCTAGTTCTTGAGGCAGCTGCTACCAGAGCTTTCCGCACTGAATGGACCTTACGTTACAAACTGTAGGTTCTTTGGAATTCCTTCAACTCTCCCAGAAAAATAAATAACTTATTTAAGACATGAGGACATTACCTTAATATATTCACTTTGAGCATGATGACTGTCATGCATAACGGGCAACACTTTTCCAATTTTATCTTCTTTCTTCTTACACTGCACCCGGTATTGCTTAATCTTTGACATCAGATTATCTTTTTCAAGCATCCATGACTTCTCTTTACTTTGGTTTTCAGATCTGAGTTGCAGAAAATCTTTGGTGCTTTCGTAGAGCAGCTCTTGGGTGTGGTGAAGACTAGGAACGAAAGTACAAATGCAGACGTGAGGATGCACACACAGCACACCTGCAAGCAAAGATCATTCCAAAATGGAAGAGAATGGCTCTTTTTTAAATTGTGAAATATATAAATTTTGTAAAATATTAGCGGTTGTAAAAATCGGATCACTGGCAATCTTACAGGTTTTACTGGGCAAAGTATAATGTATCTACCCATGCTCACTGGTTCACAGACTGGTCTTTACAGGTATTTCCCTGAGTGCTCATGATTAGAAGGACTACAGGGATATTTACACATAGCCTGCATAAGTATGGACCATTCCTAGGAATCAGACAAGGAAGAACTAAATCATGTGTTCTGACAAGTTAATACAAATTCTATAGTATCAAAACCAGCTTTGCTTTTGTGTATGCTGTGCTCCATGTAGAACGGCCTGTATCAAAATCTTATCCTTTGTTTATTTTATTTTATTTATTTATTTATTTTTTTTGAGACGGAGTCTCACTCTGTGGCCCAGGCTGGAGTGCAGTGGCCGGATCTCAGCTCACTGCAAGCTCCGCCTCCCGGATTCACGCCATTCTCCTGCCTCCGCCTCCCGAGTAGCTGGGACTACAGGCGCCCGCCACCTCGCCCAGCTAGTTTTTTGTATTTTTTAGTAGAGACGGGGTTTGCACGGGGTTAGCCAGGATGGTCTCGATCTCCTGACCTCGTGATCCGCCCGTCTCGGCCTCCCAAAGTGCTGGGATTACAGGCTTGAGCCACCGCGCCCAGCCTGTTTATTTTAAAAAGAACTTTTTGTTTTTGACAGAGTCTTGCTCTGTCACCTAGGTTGGAGTGCAGAGGCACAACCATGGCTCACAGCAGCCCTGACCTCCTGGGCTCAAGCAATCCTTCTGTCCCAGCCTCCTAAGCAGCTGGGACCACCTCCCAGGGCATTTGCCAGCTCATTAAAAATTTGTGTGTGTGTGTGGAGACAGGGTCTTGCTATGTTCCCTAGGCTAGTCTGGTCTGGAACTCCTGGGCTCATACAATCCTCTCGCCCCAGCCTCCCAAAATACTGGGATTACAAGTGGGAACCACTGCACCTGGCCTCCTTTTTAAAAAATCAACTTCCTGTACGAAGTCATTTTCAACAACTTTAGCCTATTTTAATTTCTCCATTCTCTGAAATTCCATCCCAGTGTTAATGTTCGCTTGTCTTATAATTCAATACTTGCTCCTCTGTCACATTTTAACTGTCAACATACACTTTTTCCCACCCTGAGAGAAAGCATATACCTTATTTACTGCTTATTTTTGCCCCAATGCCATGAGATTGTCAAGGATAATACTAACTACTGGACATACACAGGCAGTTAACAGATTCTTGACGACCCTTTCCTGAAATTTAGAAATAGACAATGTTTCTATCTTTAAAAAACAATATCCTTAGAAGTTAGCAACTCATCAGTTTAACATTATCCCCTAGAAAAATGCTATACTGAATGATCTAACTGCTTGCAAGAGTATTAAATACCATGAAGCAATCACTACAGTTTTCTACTGAACAAATAATGTCAGATCCACTTATTTTCATGAGTAAAAGGGCACACAGATACGAGGAAAATGGTAGCATAGTGCCAAGCACACAGTAAATGTCACAAGATGAAGTATACAGGCAGGTATGTGTGCACGTATATAAAGACAGGACAGAGAGACTTCACTCAGTTACCACGCGGATCTCTCTCACTTTCAATGAGTTATTTTAATCTGTCTTACGTTACGTTCTCCAAGTCTCAAACGGGGAAAGTATGGGCTTGTTAAAATACAAGTAGCTTGAAAGTGACACCCGAAGGGCAGTCATTAATGGCCTTGGATTTCTTCTTAGGAAGATCTGTCTAATGGAAGGAACTGATCACGTGCTCAGATATGAAGATAATGCTAAACAAGGAAGGTTATTGATATTCTGGAAAACAGATATAAAATTACAAATTACTGTGACAATTTAAAAATATCTGTCCCTTAAAAACAAAACCCAGTGAAAAGTCAAGATGCTATATACTTAAGTGCAAAAACAGTAAAAATAAAAATGAAGATAGAGAAATACTGGCCCAATGCAAACACATTATACTATGTTAAAAGAGACATAGCAGGCCGGGCACGGTGGCTCACGCCTATAATCCCAACACTTTGGGAGACTGAGGTGGGCGGATCACCTGAGGTCAGGAGATCGAGACCAGCCTGGCTAACATGGTGAAACCCTGTCTCTACTAAGAAGGAAGTGTCAGAAGGTGCTGCCGCGTAACAAATGTCCGATAAACAACAGCTGTTATAATTAGTCTGGCTGACGCACAAGGCGAACTACAGCAACAGGGGAGGAGCTGAGGCTGAAGGTTTATTTGGTGTCAGATGATGACGTTCCTAAAAATTCATGCTAAGATATCAGGACTTTATCATAAGGTAAATGGAGACTATCAAATATTTTTAAGCAGTTGATAATTACTAACAGAGGAACTAATTCATAGTAGTGAGAAAGATATAAGAACACAAAAGGCTGGGTGTGGTGGCTCACGCCTATAATCCCAGCACTTTGGGAGGCCAAGGCGGATGGATCACGAGGTCAGGACATCGAGGACCATCCTGGCTAACATGGTAAAACCTCGTCTCTACTAAAAATACAAAAAATAATAATAATAATAAATTAGCTGGGCGTGGTGGCGGGCACCTGTGGTCCCAGCTACTCGGGAGGCTGAGGCAGGAGAATGGCGTGAACCCAGGAGGCAGAGCTTGCAGTGAGCGGAGACTGTGCCACTCCACTCCAGCCTGGGCAACAGAGCGAGACTCTGTCTCAAAAAAAAAAAAAAAAAAAAAACCACAAAGGATCAGCAATAGGAACAATTTAAACAAAGGAATAGAGTTTGAATTAATGTACTAAGAATGAGAGTTCAGGGCTGGGCACAGTGGCTCATGTCTGTAATCTCAGTGCTTCAGGAGGCTGAAGTGAGAGGATTGCTTGAAGCCAGGAGTTCGAGACTAGCCTGGGCAACACAGCGAGACCCCATCTCTACAAAAAATAATAAAAATAAGCCAGGTTTGGTGGTATGCACCTGTAATCCTAGCTACTTGGAAGGCTGAGGCAGGAGGATCGCTCGAGCCCAGGAGCTCAAGGCTGCAGTGAGCTATGATCACGCCACTGCACTCCAGTCTGGGCAAAAGAGTAAGACCGTGTCTTTACTGGAAAAAACAAAACAAAACAATCAGAGAGGAGATACTTTCCTGAGTGCTAACTTCAGGTTATATGATTAGAAGGACTACAGGGATATTCACACATAGCCTGCGAAGTATGGACCATTCCTAGGAATAAGACACGGAAGTACTAAATCATGGAGATCTGACAAGTTAACACAAGTTCTACAGCATCAAAAACAGCTTTGCTTTTGTGTGTGCTGTGATCCATGTAGAACTGCCTGTATCAGAGCAGAGAAAGGACTTGAGAGGGTTTTTAGGCTCACAATCCATAGGGTTTGGAATTAAGGAATAAGAAAGTTAAGAGCTGAAGATGATCCTGTGGTTTCAAGCCTGGGAAACTGAATACATGTGATGTCATGAAACTAAATGAAAAGAAGAAAGAAGTAGTAGGTTTAAGATGGGGATGGGAGTATTTATTGGGAGAAACAAACAGTGTGGTTTCAGTAGTGGTAAATCAAACACATTCAACTGAGAATGTCCTTATGGCATTAGGTCTGGCCACTGGAACTAGGCAAAAGGGTGAAGGGGTTAGACGGGTAGAAGAACCATGAAAGACAGGTGCTGCAGAAATCAAGGGAAATGAATTACAAGGAGGGGCTGATCTGTGATGCCAAACATGCAAGAAGATACTACGTATAATAAGGACTGAACAGAGATATAACTGGTCTCAGAAGTTAAGAGGTCGGCCAGGGCTGGGCGCGGTGGCTCACGCCTGTAATCCCAGCACTTTGGGAGGCTGAGGCAGGTGGACCACCAAAGGTCAGGAGTTCGAGACCAGCCTGGCTAACACAGTGAAACCCCGTCGCTACTAAATTTACAAAATTAGCTGGGTGTGGTGGCGGCGCCTGTGATCCCAGCTACTTGGAAGGCCGAGGCAGGAGAATCGTTTGAACCTGAGATGCAGAGGTTGCAGGGAGCCGGGATCAGCCTCTGCACTCCAGCCTGGCGACAGAGACTTAGTCTCTAAAACAAAATAAAAAAGTTAAGAGGTCAGTGGTGACCCCAGAAAGGGCGTGTTTAATAAAATGGGGGGGTGAACCCCAGAAAGGGCATGTTTGATAAAATGGGGGTGAACCCCAGAAAGGGCGTGTTTAATAAAATGGGGGGGTGAAGCCAGACTGCAGAGAGGTAAAGAAAGGTAAGCAGGTTAGGAACAAAAACAATGAGGACAGAGTTGGCCATTTTTTGTTTTTATTTTTTCAGATTTTAAAAATAACTTTTATTTTTTAAAAGTACGTGCATTGGCCGGGCGCAGTGGCGCAAGCCTGTAATCCCAGCACTTTGGGAGGCCGAGACGAGCGGATCACGAGGTCAGGAGATCGAGACCATCCTGGCTAACACGGTGAAACCCCGTCTCTACTAAAAATACAAAAAACTAGCCGGGCGAGGTGGCGGGCACCTGTAGTCCCAGCTACTTGGGAGGCTGAGGCAGGAGAATGGCGGGAACCCGGGAGGCGGAGCTTGCAGTGAGCCGAGATCCGGCCACTGCACTCCAGCCTGGGCGACAGAGCGAGACTCCGTCTCAAAAAAATAATAATAATAAATAAATAAATAAATAAAAAATAAAAGTACGTGCATTATAGGAAACTGAAACACACAAGAAGCAAAGAACAAAGTCATCCACAATCAGAATCGCTTTACAGTTTATAAACTGTAAAGTTTACAGGACGCTCTAGTTCCTGCGTGTGTGCAGACACAACACCCAATTTTATGGGATTGAGATCGTACAGTATGGATCGTGCTGTTTCACACATCAGAGATATTTACAGTTCAAAATCCCAAAGCTATGTGAGTATTCTGATAACCAAGAGCACACTATGCCAACTCAATCTGTTAGAAAAAAATACAATCCTGCCTTTCTTGGGACAGAAATTTCATAGAAGCCAAAAAGGACAACACGTCGCTAGATAAAAGCACTGGCAGAGTTCCGATTAAAACACTGAGTGTGCAGTTTTTTGTGTAGATATGTAAACTCATGTTTTCCATATTCACGAAGGGGCAAACAAAAGCAAAGGGCCCCACGACACTGAGTCAGACAGTGTATATATCAGTGGAGAAAAGAACACTTTTTTTTTTTGGAGACAGGGTCTCACTCTGTCGCCCAGGCATGAGCGATTACAGGCGTGAGCCTGGCCTAAGAACGCTTCTTAACCACCAGAAGCTAAAACACCACAGTAGATTAACAGGAGCACATGAAATACCATCAGCTCTGCAACGGCATGCCTGGAACAGCGAGATACTCACCTACGCAGAACCAGGGGTTTCTGAGGAAGACAATTTTTTCAAGGTTCCCTTTAGTTCTATGACCTGCTGTTGTTCAAGTACAAAACGCTAACTTTTAAGTCACTCAGAAAAATAAAATACCTGTTAGGTTCAGCTTTCTTAGACACTCACTTTTTGGTTAGCTCTTTGATTTTGTTCTGATTTCTCTGGTGCTGAACTTGTATTTCCTCAAGGTGAATCCGTCTATCCTCCATGAGCCCTTCAATTTGTTCTCGAGCAAGTTTGGTCTGCTCTCCCAGCTGAGCCTGCAGTGCTTCCACCTAGACAGGCCAAAAAGGGGTGAGGAATCCAACCCTACTTCCACTTACTTCATACCTCTAGGAAAACTGAGCCTTTCTCCAGAAAAATTAAAAAACAAACAAAAAAATCTCACTCCTAATCCTCTTGTTCATTTCAAGACAAGGTCTTGCTCTGTCCCCCAGGCTGGAGTGCAAGGGGCGTGATCATAGCTCACTGCGGCCTCAACCCCATGGGCTCAGGCAGTCCTCCCTGCCTCAGCCTCCAGGACTACAGGTGTGTCCCACCACACCCAGCTAATTTTATTTTTATTTTTTGTAGAGATGGGGTCTCACTATGTTGTCCAGGCTGGTCTGGAACTTTTGGGTTGTAGAGATAGGATCTCACTATGTTGTCCAGGCTGGTCTCGGACTTTTGGGTTGTAGAGATGGGATCTCACTATGTTGTCCAGGCTGGTCTCGGACTTTTGGGCTCCAGCAATCATCTAGCCTCGGCCTCCCAAAGTGCTGGGATTACAGGCACTACCATGCCCAGCCCAGTTCCTCTTAATGTCTTATAAATGGGGTTAAGCTATACAAGAGTAGATTCTTTGTCCAAACGAAACCCAGCACCTACATCACACAAACAAAGCTACAAAATCGTTTCCCCTACCCTGTGATTTTTGGCTTTTCACTATCTCCCTTGACTGCCTCCCTTTAAGACACCCTTCCTGCCCAGAAGCAAAATGACTCTTGGTTTTCGGTTTCAAAAAGTACAGCAAAATGAATATAAGGTAATTTCCTTCTCTGTGTCTGGCTATCACGACTCCACATGGAGATACTACCCAAAGGTACAAACTGTCATTAAATCAACAGAGATTTAACCTAGTAAGGACAGAAACTTTAGTGCAATCAGATGAACAATCATGGTTCCAAATGACACATAATAACCAGGAGGTAACAGAACAGTTCATTACTTTCCTAGACTTTAAACCTAAGCACTAAATAAATGAATATACCACCAAACGTTGATCTGTCAGCATAGACAAGCTTCCCTCTGCAATCTCTGTATATCCCTAGGCCAGTGGATTCTTACTTTGTAATGGTTTTGGTGGACGGGGCTTAGTACATTGAACTGAAGGTTTAGAGTAGCACTTTTAGCATGTTCAAATAGAAAAGGATGGTTTTAAAATATAAGCTCTTGGAAATTAAGAACAATCTCAATTTTCTTAGTCACATGAGGCTTAGATGGAACCTGTGTGCAAGGAGATGCTTATCACACGATACTGCGGGTACGTTATATAAAGCCAGGCTTGTGGATAAGAGCCATCTGGGTCTGCCAAAACACATTCTTTACCTGCAGGATGAGTGTCTGTACGTCTCTCTGGTAATGTTCAGAACTTCCTCTTCTCTCTCGCGATGGTCTTCTTTTGCTTATTTTAGGATCTAAAATAGAAAACAAAATCCGTCAAGACGGTTTTACCCAGCTTTTCCGTCTGCTATTGAAGCATCCGCATTTCCCGCGCAGGGGAGTTCAGATTCGTTTACCTGTGAGGGACGGAAAGGAAGAAGACGGGAAACACCGTAACCACAGTGCTTAACTTTTCAAACAGGAATCTGTCAGGGAACTCTGCAAGATGTCACCTAAATAATCCTACTCATCTTCTGGCAGAATCAACCACTAAATTTTCCTTAGAATCAATCACTGAAATAGTTGTGTCTACTTCCTTAGTAAAATACTATTTAATCAGAATAAGGCCAGGTGTTGTGGCTCATGCCTGTAATCCCAGTGCTTTGGGAGGCCAAAGCAGGACAATCACTTGAAGCCAGGAGTTCAAAACCAGCCTGAGTGACACAGTGAGAACCCCTCCCTACACAAAATAAGGTAAAATACAATAAATTAGCCAGGTGTGGTGGCATATGCCTGTCGTCCCAGCTACTCAGGAGATTGAGGTGGGAGGGTCACTTGAGTCCAGGAGTTGAAGGTTACAGTAAACCATACTCATACCACTGTACTGCAGCCTGGGTGACAGAGCCTGTCTCAATCAACCAATCAATCAATCAAACAGAATAAGGAATAAGAAAAACATTTTGGTTATGACATATCACACAATTTTCAAAAGACAAGGTTATTTTAAAGATAAGGAACACTAAAAATTGAACTGAGCAGGCCGGGTGCGGTGGCTCACGCCTGTAATCCCAGCACTTTGGGAGGCCAAGGCAGGCGGATCACCTGAGGTCGGGAGTTTGAGACCAGCCTAACATGGAGAAACTCCCTCTCTACTAAAAATACAAAATTAGCCAGGTATGGGGTGCGTGCCTGTAATCCCAGCTATTCGGGAGGCTGAGGTAGGAGAATCACTTGAATCTGGGAGACAGAGGCTGTAGTGAGCGGAGATCACGCCACTGCACTCCAGCCTGGGCAACAAGAGCAAAACTCCATCTCAAAACAAAACAAAACAAAACAAAACAAAAAGACACAATTGAACTGAGCAAAATGTAATTTCTTGGATGGTTCAAGAAGCTCATTAAGACATTAGACCACCAAAGGCATCATTATGAACATCAATTCTCACTGTACAGTAGGGAAAACATTTCCAATTGTGTACACTGTGCTTTTTTTTTGAGACAGAGTCTCGCTCTGTTGTGCATTGGTGTGATCTCGGCTCACTGCAAACTCCGCCTCCCGGGTTCAAGCAATTCTCCTGCCTCAGCCTCCCAAACAACTGGGATTACAGGCACCTGCCACCATGCCTGGCTAATTTTTTGTGTTTACATCGGTTTTGCCATGTTGGCCAGGCTGGTCTCGATCTCCTGACCTCAGGTGATCCACCCACCTCAGCCTCCCAAAGTGCTGGGATGACAGGTGTGAGCCACCGCACCCAGCCTGCCCTGTGATTTTCAATTCTGCATTGATGAGAATTTCTAATAGGTTATATGTTTGTTACCTGCTTTGAAAGCTGAAGATTCATTCTGCTCACGTTCACCTACAGCCTGGATAGTCCTTTGGAGAATGGTGACCTAAGGAAGCAAACACTGGTATTGAAGTAGCCTTCCTATAAACGTAATGTTTTATTTTTCAGCCTTAGTTCTGCAGATTGAACGCTGTAAGTTAAATTTGTCAAAACTGATATGATTATATAAGGATGTCATACATATGAGAGACCACACAGGCAAAGTAACAAACCGGATAAAACCCTGTGTTGACAATATAAACTTAAAAAAGTTGGCCGGGTGTGGTGGCATGTGCCTGTGGTCCCCGCTACTCAGGAGGCTAAGGTGGGAGGGTCGCTGGAGCCAGGAGCTCAAGGCTGCAGTGAGCTATGATCGCTCCACCGCACTCCAACCTGGGCAACAGAATGAGACTTTGTTTCTAAAAAAAATAAAAACAAGGCCGGGCGTGGTGGCTCACGCCTGTAATCCCAGCAATTTGGGAGGTCGATGGGGGGGCAGATCACCTGAGGTTGGGAGTTCAAGACCAGCCTGACCAACATGGAGAAACCCCATCTCTACTAAAAATACAAAATTAGCCACGCGTGGTGGCGCATGCCTGTAATCCCAGCTACTCGGGAGGCTGAGGCAGGAGAATCATTTGAACCCAGGAGGCGGAGGTTGTGGTGAGCCGAAATCGCACCATTGCACTCCAGCCTGGGTGACAAGAGTGAAACTCTGTCTTGAAAAATAAATAAATAAATAATAAAAATAAATAAATACATAAATAAAATTCCAGGGCTATTTAGTAATATATGATTAAAAACAAAACCAAGAACAGCTTGGGGCACAGTGGTGCACCCCTGTAGTTCCGGCTACTTGGAAGGATGGTGCCTAAGCCCAGAAGTGTGAGTCCAGCCTAGGCAACAGGCCAAGACCTCAGCTCTAAATTGTTTTTATTTTTATTATTATTTTTTTTTTTAAAAAGCAGCTCTTTGGCCGGGCGCGGTGGCTCATGCCTGTAATCCCAGCACTTTGGGAGGCTGAGACGGGTGGATCATGAGGTCAGGAGATTGAGACCATCCTGGCTAACACAGTGAAACCCCGTCTCTACTAAAAAATACAAAAAACTAGCCGGGCGAGGTGGCGGGCGCCTGTAGTCCCAGCTACTCGGGAGGCTGAGGCAGGAGAATGGCGTAAACCCGGGAGGTGGAGCTTGTAGTGAGCTGAGATCCAGCCACTGCACTCCAGCCTGGGCGACACAGCAAGACTCTGTCTCAAAAAAAAAAAAAAAAAGGCAGCTCTTTGGTGGGTGTGGTGGCTCACGCCTGTAATCCCAGCACTTTGGCAGGCCAACACGGGCAGACTGCTTGCGCTCAGGAGTTCCAGACCAGCCTGGGCAACATGGTGAAACCCCATCTCTACAAAAAATACAAAAATTAGCTGGGCATGGTGGTGCACATCTGCAGCCCCAGCTGCTTGGGAGGCTGAGGTGGGAGGAGTGCTTGAGACCGGGAGGCAGAGGTTGTAGTGAGCTGAGACTGCGCATTGCACTCCAACCTGTGTAACAGAATGAGACTTTGTCTCAAAAAAAAAAAAAAAAAGTAGCTCTTGGCCAAGGACCTTCAGGAAACAGAAGTATACATATACAGATATGTATAAAAACGCTCAGGAACTGTTTACAGAAGTGAAAAAATAGAAATAGTATACACAGACACATAACTATTTCCACAGGAATGGAAAAAGAGACGGAGGTATATATACCAAAGTATTAATAGTGGATTGTCTCTGGGGTATAGGATTATGAGAACCTGCCACTTTTACATGATAGATTACTATACTCTGTTTTTAATGAAGACCATGGATATCATTTGTAATCAGCATAAACAAAGATTTAAAAAAGAAACTTAAGAATCAAAACTTTCTCCCACACACAGTCTGCTCCTGCTTTCCTCTCTGTCTCAGCTAAAACAGCCACCCCTCTGTGCTTCAGGTTTCTACACAGTGAAATGGGGTAAACGATGCTACTTCCTGAGGTTTTTGAAGAAAAATGCTTTAACAACTCAGGCAAACAAGGCACTATGATGGCTAATTCTCCACCTGCCTTCTCTAGCGAATACTAACGTTCTTCTGACGATGGGCCCTAGCCTGTGATTTGTGAAGCCACACTCACCATGCTCCACCAAAGATTACTTACTTTGTGAGGAGGCTCCTTACAAAAATAGGTCACTTCTCCAGCGTCTGTTCCCACAAGAGCCAAGAGATTCTGAATCTTGTTCTTGTCTTCTAGCTCCCTGCAATTCTCATGGAAAGCAAGCACATATTATTCAACGTCCCAAGTAAGTAACCCTTGCTGTCTAAAGGATCTCCCTTCTATTTTTTTTAAACAATAGTAACCTCAAATTAAAACAGTAACCTCAAATTAAAATTGAATAGTTATGTATCTAGACTTTAGCTCTACTTTGTAAAACATCAGGTATTTCCATTCAGAGAACAGGGGCCAGGGCACCTCTCAGCTCATTCTTTTTTTATTTTTTATTTTTTGCTTTGTCACCCAGGCTGGAGTGCAGTGGCGCCATCTCCACTCACTGCAAGCTCCGCTTCCCGGGTTCACGCCATTCTCCTGCCTCAGCTTCCCGAGTAGCTGGGAGTACAGGCGCCCGCCACCTCGCCCGGCTAGATTTTTGTATTTTTTTTAGTAGAGACGGGGTTTCACCGTGTTAGCCAGGATGGTCTCGATCCCCTGACCTCGTGATCCGCCCATCTCGGCCTCACATAGTGCTGGGATTACAGGCGTGAGCCACTGCGCCCGGCCCTTCTCAGCTAATTCTAAAAGGGAACTGTAGCGGTGCTGAGGGGCACTGCTCAGATCTTCCTCTTCAGGGCTGATGGCTCATTCTGCCATTTGCCAGGAATGCTGCCTGCTGATAGCTTGTAGTTGAATCTCCAGCCAAGGGAACTGCCTCTCATTCCTCAGGGACAGTCCATATCCAGTGCCTGGTCAATGAGGGAATACAAAAATCCAATCCCCTTGCCTCAGTTCAGGATATCTCTGAAGAGCAATCCCAGCTTCAGAGACCCCTGTGGTGCTGGACGAGGCCTGCTGCAACTGAGTCCCAGTTTAAGTTCCCTCACTTCCCAATAAAATTCCTGCAAGCAAATCTCCACTGCACAGTCTGTTTCCCAGAGAACTCGACCTAAGATAGCTTACGTCCAGACTGGACCAAGGAAGCAAACGCTAAAAAGGGATTTCAGGCTTGGTGTGGTGGCTCATGCCTATAATCCCAGCACTTTGGGCCAAGGCAGGCGGATCACCTGAGGTCAGGAGTTCGAGACCAGCCTGGCCAACACGGTGAAACCCCGGTCTCTACTAAAATGCAAAAATTAGCTGGGCATGGTGGTGCACACCTGTAATCCCAGCTACTCAGGAGGCTAAGGCACAAGAATCGCTTGAACCTGGGAGGTGGACGTTGCAGTGAGCCAAGATTGCACCATTGCACTCCGGCCTGGGTGACAGAGTAAGACTGTCTCAAAAAAAAAAAAATAATTAATTAATTTAAAAAAAACATAAAAGGGGATTTCAGAGCCAGTGACATGGAGATGGTTTACAGAACATGGCGTTTCTCGCAGCAAGGGAGATGGGTAGTCAACAGAGAATAGCTTAAACAATAAAAGATAAGTCAAAGATGGAAAAGAGGCTGAGGGCTGCGCCCCGTACAAAATCACAATCTCTGACTCATTTTTCAGGCCCAAGTCCGTTTTTTTTTGTTTTTTGTTTTTTTTGAGACAGAGTCTCGCTGTCACCCAGGCTGGAGTGCAATGGCGCCATCTCGGCTCACCACAACCTCCGCCTCCTGAGTTCAAGCAATTCTCCTGCTTCAGTCTCCCGAGTAGCTGGGACTACAGGCATGTGCCACTACGCCCAGCTAATTTTTGCATTTTTAGTAGAGACGGGGTTTCACCATGTTGGCCAGGCTGGTCTTGGACTCCTGACCTCGTGATCTGCCCGCCTCAGCCACCCAAAGTGCTGGGATTACAGGCGTGAGACACCGCGCCTGGCCTCAAGTCAGTTTTAAGTCCTAGTGACGATTACCTAAAGAAGAGGCTCGAACTCCTAGAAGGTAAGACCCTGTGACACCACAGAGTAGATATTCATGCTAATGATTCCCCACATCCTCCAAAGGGTCTACAGCCATTTATTCAAGTAACTACATACTGCGAAAAAGGAAAGACCTGGGCATTTTAAGGATTGCTGGATACAGGGTCTAAGCTGACACTGATACCAGATAACCTGAAGCATCATCATGGCACTGGGGCATGTGGGGACCGTGGAATAAACGGAATTTGGGCACGTCCAGCTCACAGCAGGTCTATGGGATCCACCAAATCAATGTTCATTTCTTCAGTTCCCAAATGATTAAAACGGACATACGAGGTAGGGGGCAGTACCTCCAAATTAGCTTCTTGGCTTCGGGGGTAAGCTAAGTGAAAGCCTCTGAAACTGCCCCTCCCTACCCAGTCAAGATGATCAATAAAGACCTGAAGAATGTAGCGGTGGAGGTCCTTACCAAAGCCTCGTTTCATTCCTCAGTACGGCCTATACAAAACCAGGTGGATTCTGGGGATAGCAGCAGACTACCACCAAGTAGGCCCCAGTTTCAGGCATGGTGCCAGGTGTAGGACCTTTGCTAGAACAGAAATACTTAGTCTCAGGCACATGGTAAGTGGTGAGTAATTAGGCAAATGCATTCCTTCCTACCCCTCAAAAGACCAGAGGCAGTTCACATCATGTGATGTGGACAACGGTGTACGTTTATAGTCTTTCCCAAGGCCATGTTAATGCTTTTACTCTCTGTCAATACCGTGTAAAAGAATCTGGGCCAGCGCGGTGGCTCACACCTGTAATCCCAGCACTTTGGGAGGCTGAGGCAGGTGGACCACAAGGTCAGGAGTTCGAGACCAGCCTGACCAAGATGGTGAAACCCCATCTCTACTAAAAAGTACAAAAATTAGCTGGGCATGGTAATGCACACCTGTAGTCCCAGCTACTCGGGAGGCTGAGGCAGGAGAATCACTTGAATCTGGGAGGCAGAGGTTGCAGTGAGCCGAGATCACATCACTGCACTCCAGCCTGGGCGACAGAGCGAGACTCCATCTCAAAAACAAACAAACAAATGAAAACAAACAAACAAAAAAGAATCTGGATCTGGCTACTCCACAGATCGCCAGGAGCTCACTACTGATGATATTGCACTTAATCAGACTATGAACAAGAAACAGCAAGTGCACTGGAACCTTTGGTAAGATACGTGTGCTCCAGAGGGCTGGAGATGAACCTTACGAAGCACATCAGTCAAGTCTTCAAGGCTGTGATCTAGGTATGCCAGGATATTCCCTCCGAAGTAAAGATCAGATTATTTCATCTGGTACCTGCTACACCGAGAAGGAAGCATAATGCCTGGAAGGAGTCTTCAGGCTCTGAAGACAACACAGTCCGTATTTTGGAACACTGCTCTGACCCACGTACCACCTGACACAGAAGGCGAGCTTTCAGCGCGGCCCAGGGTTGAAAGGACGCGCTGCGGCTTGGGACATGTAACTCGGCAGATCCTATGGTGTCTGTGGTGGCACAAGGTACCAACCGGAGTTTACGGCAAGCAACACTACAAGAATCGTGACAGACCCTGAGAATCTGCCGCAAGACCACACCGTCTACAGCTGAGAATGACATAACATTTGAAAACCAGCTTCTGCCATGCTACTAGATCCTGCTAAAAATGGAGCACCTGACGGCGGGACACCAAAAAAACCATGTGGCGAGGCTGGGCACGGTGGCTCACACTTGAAATCCCAGCACTTTGGGAGGCTGAGGAGGGCGGACTGCTTGAGCTCAGGAGTTCAAGACCAGCCTGGGCAATATGGAAAAACCCTGTCTCCACAAAAAATACAAAAATTAGTCAGGTGTGTTGGCTCATATCTGTAGTCCCAGCTACTTGGAAGGATGAGGCAGGTGGATCACTTGAGCCCGGGAGGCGGAGGTTGCAGTGAGCGGAGATCATGCCACTACACTCCAGCCTGGGTGACTGAGCAAGATCCTGTCTCAAAATAAAAAAAAATAATAATAATAATAAAAAAGAAACCACGTGGCTAAGTCTTTTCAACAAATGATGTTGAGAAAACTGGACATCCACATGCAAAAGAATGAAGTTGGAACATTACCTAATGCTATATTCAAAAATTAACTCAAAATGGATCAAAGACCTAGACATAAGAGCTAAAATAATAAAAGTTTCAGAAGAAAACATAGGAGAAAAGCTTCCTGACAATGAATTTGGCAATGATTTCTTCGATGTGATACCAAAAGCAGAAGCAACAAAAGAAAAAAAATACATAAATTGAACTTCATAAAATTAAAAACGCCTTGCTCGGCATGGTGGCTCATTCCTTTGGGAGGCTGAGGCAGGAGGATCTCTTGAGGCCAGAAGTTTAAGACCAGCCTGAGGAATATAGTGAGACCCTCCTGTCTCTACAAAAAAATGAAAAAAAGAAAATAAATTAACCAGGCATAGTGGTGCATGCCTATAGTCCCGGCTACTCCCGAGGCTAAGGCAGGAGGATCACCCTGGCTGACAGAGCGATACCCTGCCTCTAAAAAAAAAAAAAAAAAAAGGAGAAAATAAAAAGGCAATCTATGGAATGGGAGAAAATATTTGCATGTATCTGTATGTCTAATAAAGGTTTAATATCCAGAATATATAAAGAACTTCTATGGCCAGGCACCGTGGCTCACATCTGTAATCTCTGCACTTTGGGAGGGTGAGGTGGGAGGATCACTTGAGCTCAGGAGTTTGAGACCAGCCTGGGCAACATAGCAAAACTCCGACTCTACCAAAAATACAAAAATTAGCCAGGCGCAGTGGCACATGCCTGTAGTCCCAGCTACTCGGGAGGCTGACATGGGAGGAGAGCTTGAGCCCAGCAGACAGAGGCTACAGTGAGCCGTGATCACGCCACTCACTGTAGCCCGGGCGACAGAGCGAGACCCTGTCTCAGCAACAACAAAAACAACCCAATTATTAAAATGGGCAAAAGATCCGAATCAATACTTCTCCAAAGAAGATATATAAACGGCACAGGAAAGACGCTCGAGATTTTAAGATGCAAATCAAAACCACAATGAGACTCCCTCACACCTGTAAGGTGTTTCTGTTTATTTGATAGTAAGACGGTTACTATCAAAGAAACAGAAAATAAGGCTGGGCACAGCGGCTCAAGCCTGTAATCCTAACACTTTGGGAGGCAAAGGTGGGCAAATTGCTTGAGCCCAGGAGTTTGAGACCAGCTTGGGCAAAACGGTGAAACCCCATCTCTTCAAAAAACACAAAAATTAGCCAAGCACAGTGGTGCACACCCGTGGTCCCAACTAATTAGGAGGCTGAGGTTGGGGGATCATCAAAGCCTGGGAGGTTGAGGCTGCGGTGAGCTGTGATCATGCCACTGCACTCCAGCCTGGTTGACTGAGCAAGACCTTGTCTCCAAAAAAACAAAACCCAGAAAATAACAAGTGTTGGCCAGGCACGGTGGCTCATGCCTGTAATTCCAGCACTTTGGGAGGCTGAGGCAGGAGGACTGCTTGAGCTCAGGAGTTTGAGACCAGCCTGGGAAACATGGTGAAACCTTGTCTCTACAAAAAAAAAAAAAAAAAAAAAAACATAGCTGGGCATGGCGGCACATGCACATAGTCACAGCTACTTGGAGGCTGAAGTGTGAGGATCACCTGAGCCTAGGAGGTAGGTAAAGGCTGCAGTGAGCCAAGATCATGCCACTGCACTCCAGCCTGGGTAAGACCCTGTCTCAAAAAAAAAAAAAGGCTTAAGGAAAAAAAAGAAAAATAACAGGGTATTGGTAAGGATGTGGAGAAACTC